GAGTACAGTGGCACAATGACAGCTCACTGCAGCATCAAACCTCTAGGCTCAAGTGATTCTCCTACCTCAGCCATCTTAAGTAGCTGGAACTACAGACACAAGCCATCAGACCCAGCTTAATATACCTGTCAACAATATTTTCTTACTGGGTCCCATCATAAAGAGGAGCCAGGAAAGTTTAAAAAAAAAAAAAAGACTAGATGCAAAGGCTCACACCTGTAATCCTAACACTCTAGGAGGCTGAGGCAGCTAGACTGTTTGAGCACAAGAATTTGAGGCCAACCTGAGCAAGACCAAGATCCCATCTCTACTAAAAAATAGAAAACATAGCCAGGTGCTATGGTGGGTGCCTATAGTCCTAGGTATTCTGTAAACTGAGGCCAAGAGGATTGCTGGAACACATCAGTTTGAGGTTGTGAGGTTGGTATGATAATGTCACAGCACTCTACCCTGAGCATCAGAGTGAGCCTCTATCTCAAAAAACAAAACAACAGGTTTGGCACTTGTAGCTCAAGCAGCTAAGGCGCCAGCCACATACACCACAGCTGGCAGGTTTGAATCCAGCCCAGGCCTGCCAAGCAACAATGACAACTACAACCAAAAAATAGCCAGGCATTGTGGTGGGCACTTGCAGTCCCAGCTACTTGGGAGGCTGAGGCAAGAGAATCGCTTAAGCCCAGGAGTTGGAGTTGCTGTGAGCTATGATGCCACAGCACTCTACCCAGGGTGACAGCTTCAGGCTCTATCTCCAAACAAACAAACAAAAAACAACAATTATGAAACACTGCTAACAAATGTAAGCAGTGCAACCTGGTTCTTTGTACCTTCAATTCAAAAATAAAAATTTAAAAAAAAAAAAAAAAACCCCGATATAAAAACAACAACAACAAAAAACCCAACTCTTTAGTTTTAAAGGTTTTTTTATCAGCTGGCCCTATAAATAAATTTTTCTGTTGAAAACCTAACTAGGGGGTAAGAAAGCCCTCAGCCCTCAATACAGCCATGATGGTTATCAGCTTTTCAATTTCTAGGTGCCCAGCATTGTCCTAAATGCTAAGAGACATAGAAAAAAAATTTGAAGAAAAGATTCTTCTGGTCTTGAGGAATTTATTTGGTTAAGAACATTAAACCATTACAGTATAGAATATGTAGGTGATGGAAATTTAGAAAATAGGAGATTTGGGGGAGGTGCCTGTGGCTCAAAGGAGTAAGACACCGGCCCCATATGCCACAGGTGGTGGGTTCAAACCCAGCCCCGGCCAAAAACTGTAGGAAAAAAAAAAAGGAAAATAGGAGATTTTATTGTATACAGCCTACTCAGGTCAGATTCCTTAGGAAGGAAACCTAAAGCAAGACCCCATATAATTCATTACTTCTGAGTTGTAGCTTAATGACATTAAAAAACAACAACTATGATCACCTTCAAAGAACTCCCCATGGAAAGCTAACTGATGGATGCCAGTGCCTAGTTCACCCTTCAAAGCAGTTTTGGGATACTTTTTCTGGAATGGCCGTCAGAGCTGTCATCAGACAAGATCTGACAACTAAATTTGTGAACTTGCCACCATGTGCTTATGCTGGCAGCACTATACAAACTATTCAGTAAGGTTCCATAACCTCAGTATGTCAGTGTCTCACAGCTGTATTTGTGTGGATGTGTGGTGATGTCTTGCTGAGTGGCATTCATTATTATTATTACATGTTTTTGTGTTCCATAAGAAAACTTTAACAGTCATTCAAGAAAAAGATTTCCGAAAGTTGCTTTGAAGGCTGGACTAGGCACTAACATCAGTGCATAGCTTCCCAAGGGGAGTACTTAGAAGTTGACCATAGTGATATGTAACAATAAGGTATGTAGCATGTTTTCTAGGATGAGTTAATGAACTTAATTGCCAGGCCTTATTTATTAGGACATGGAACTGATAAGGTAGAGACCCAGGTCCAAAGTCTTTTTCCCTGCCTATTTATTTCTCTGAACAGATATACAGAAATCCACTGAGCCACTAAATTATCTTCCAGGCAGCTTCATTTACCTTCTCAACAGTTATTCCTCACCATGAATTTCCTACTTTGGGGCTCAGGTCATCAACTTTTCTCTTCTTCACCTCCCATAGCAATTCTACTCAGAAATGTCCATTCATTTGACCTTAAACCTCCCATTGTTGAATAGACGTGCCTACTCTATACTGGTACATACGTAAACTAATAATGAGTAGAGAATTCAATTACTCTATGAATTCACTGATTGATTTTTATCAGTACCTAAGTTCTTTCTATCCTTTCTTTCAAAGCCAAAGTTATCCCATTTCTCAAAAAAAAAAGAAAGAAAGAAAGAAAAAAAACCTTTGCCACCTATGCAAATGAAGTATATGAGTGCATACCTCAATGTATATTTATGTGTACCCAAATATACAGTTTTATCTGTCAAAAATTCTATAATACTTGTCATCTAAGACATGCCTTTTCATTCAGTGCTCATTGCCCTTAAACTATACGAAGACACAAAAGCACTTAAGTCAGAGATAGAGGTAATTAACACGCACATCACCCAGCTTAAGGCAGGTACCCAGGCTGTGGATAACATCCTCTGCCAAGTCTGAGTGGTCCGAGTCCCATACCAGCCCAATTGTGATAATCTGTGGAGCATTCATCAACACTCGGCGAATTCGGATTCTCTCTCCACAGTTGCTCTGAAACACATACATGAGGCTATTTCAAGAAGTTTCCTACTGCTCTGCCTCAATTCCACTAATCCCAGGGTTCCCCTTCTTACCCCAAACCCAAACTCAACTTAACTCACCGGACAGTTCCGCAGATCCCCCATGGTGCTGGCATTCTGTAGCAGCTCACCAAACATACTTGGTGAAGGTTTTTCTCGTCTTTCCAGCATACAAATAGCCTGATTGCTTCAAGATGGGGAATGGAAGGGGAATGATGGTGGGATTGTACTGAATTACTGCTAAATTAAATATATCATTCACATAAACTCCTAACTCTCGTGTATTTGACTTTCTTCCTCTGCTTACCATACCAAAACCCCTTGTTTTGACTGACCTCACTGTTACCTCTTTACCTGTCCCCAAATCCAAAGCTCATAAAATCCCTATTCTCTTCCCACTTTGCTGACCATATCTGAGCCTAAGAAAAGGGGGGACTGGGAGAAGAAAGAAGGAGAACAAAGGTTATTTTAAAACTACTATTCTGAGTAGCTATAATATAGCATAAACTCAGCAATAAGAATATCAGTTATTTGAATGCCTTCAGTTAAAATTCAATCAACTGTAAGTGTGTCTAAAGTTACAACAGAGAATTCTCTAAGACTCACCAAAGGGAAGTGGTGGAAATATAATGTACCATCTGGATAAAAGGCAGTGGATCAGATGTGGCGCCACAGCTAGTACATACACACTAGATAGACCAGAAAGAAAAAAGGAAAACCAAGAACCCACAGTCATGAACTGTTTTGGCACCCATTTAACACCCCACAACCCAAGATAAAGGGTTCCTGAAAGGCCGGGTGTGGTGGCTCACACTTGTAATCCTAGCACTCTGGGAGGCTAAGGCAGGTAGATTGCTTGAGTTCAGGAGTTTGAGACCAGCCTGAGCCAGAGTGAGACCCCATCTCTAAAAGTAGCCAGACATTGTGGTGGGCTCCTGTTGTCCCAGCTACTTGGGAGGCTGAGGCAAGAGAATCACTTGAGCCAAGAGTTTGAGGTTGCTGTGAGCTATGATACCGCGGCACTCTACCGAGGGTGATAAAGGAAGACTGCCTCAAAAAAAAAAAAAAAAAAAAGTAAGGGTTCCTGAAGGGGTCTAGAAAAGATGAGGATAGAGATAGGGTTCACCTGCTCAAACAATGTCATTGCAAACTTCTGATGGGAAATGCAGTGTTGGGCAGTACATATATCCTCTTTGGTTTCATCAGCAATGTGGAAGTGAATTCTCATCAGGAGGTTTTCCTGACAGGGAAAGAACAAAAGTAGTACACCAACAATGTTTAAAAGACAAATATACAAATTGGTAAGCAGCTTCCCCAGAGAAACAGCAACCTTCCTGGAAGTCAGAAATACTGATGATTTTTTTTTTTTAATTTTCTGGTTTGAAATGATTATAAATTCACAGCAAGCTTCAAAAAATGTATAGAGGGTCCCATATACCCTTCACCTAGTCTTCTCCAACAGTAACCTCTTACATAACTATAATACAATATCAAAACGAAGAAAGGGACATTGATACAATCCACAGTTAATTCAGATTTCACCAGTTTTACATGCCCTCATTTATGTGTGTGTGTGTGCATTGTGTGTATGTTTGGCTCTATACTATTTTATCATACGTACAGTCATATAATCACCATCACAATCAAAATATAGAACATTTCCATAACCATAAAACTTCCTTCATGCTATCCCTTTATAGCCTTACCCAGCCAATCCTATCCCTAACTCCTAGGAATCATTAATCTTTTCTCCCATCTCCATCATTGTTATCTGAAGAATATTATTGGCTGGGATATGTGGCTCACACCTGTAATCCCAGCACACTAGGAGGCCTTGGCAGGTGAACTGCTTGAGCTCAGGAGTTCAAGATCATCCTGAGCAAGAGTGAGACCCTCTCTCTACTAAAAATGGAAAAACTAGCTGGGTGTAGTGGCACATGCCTATATTCCAAGCTACTTGGGACACTAAAGCAAGAGGACTGCTTGAGCCCCAGAGTTTGAGGTTGCTGTAAGCTATGACACACAGCACTCTATCCAGGGCAACAGAGTGGGACTCTGTCATCAAAAAGGGAAAAAAAAATGTTATAAAAATGGGATCATATAGTAGATAACCTTTTCACATTGCACTTTTTACTTAACATAATTCCCTTGAGATCTATCTAAGTTGTGTAAATGAATAGTTTCTTCCTTTTAATTGCTGCATAGTATGCCTCCATATAGAAGTATCAATTTGTTTAACCTTCTAGCCATTAAGGGACACTTGGGTTGTTTCCAGTTTTTACTATCATGAATAAAGCTTCTATGAACATTCATATACAAGTTATTGTATAAATAAAGTTTTTATTTCTCTGGCATACGTTTCCAGGAATGCAAGCTGCTAGATCATATAGTAGTTTGCTTATGTAGATTTTCAAGAAACCTACACACTGTTTCCCAGAGAAGCTATACCATTTTACATTTTACATTCCTAACAGCAATATAATATATCAGTGATCCAGCTTCTCAGAAGTACCTCCACTTTTGGCCGACATTTTACCCTGTAATGGGATGTCTATCACTCTCAAGATTTTCAAAATACATACCCAGAGAGAGAATCTTTTCAAGGTTGATGGATAGAACACAGAGTTCAGAAGAGTTAGGGGCACTGGAGACATGGTGGTCATCTACAGGATGTCCCAAGGTCACCAAACATGGGAAAATTAAACTCATATTTATTATATTTCATATTTTTATATGTATATATCAACATGTAGAAAAGTATTTTGTAAACATTTTGTAAAATTTTGTAATGACTATTTTGTAAATAAAGGTATATTTAGTTATAATTTCTCATTTTTCCTATGTAGGACTGTATAGTGACCTTGGGGACACCCTGTATATAGCATAACACACTTGTGCTAGGGACTCAGTTATTCCCTATTTAATTATCTTTAAAAATGAAGGAGTTATCAAAATGTGATCCCCAGACCATCAGCATCAGTATTAGCATCACATGGGAACTTGTTTGAGAGGAATATTCTGGAGCTCCACACCAAGCCCACTGAATCATACTAGAGGTACAGCCCAACAATTTGTATTTTAATAAGCCTTGGCTCCTCTGAAAGTTAAGAGCTACTGCTTTATGCAATGTCAGGCATAAAACAACCCTAAGCCTAAAGGGAAAAATAATAAACCCCCTAGGCAATTCATTCTCTGCAATTATAGAGACACTTTAGCACTCTGAAAAACTGTAGAAACTCCTAGTTTTCACTATAGAGCTAAGGGCATACTAAATTCCACCTTAAAGTAGCCAGTCCCTAATAAAGACCATTGACAGTCCCACCCTATATCAAAGAGGGCCAGAGGCCAGCACTTACAAAGCACTCCGCAGCATCATCCATAATTCCCAGCTGGAAACGTTGTTCATCCTGGAAAGTCTTTGCCAGAGCACTGCGGAGAGTGTCTGATGGAAGCACTTTTTCACTACTACATTGAAACTGGTTAAAGATTCCCTATAGGGAAGAGGTTAGACAAGAGAAAAAGTATAATGCTTTTATTAAACGTCCACACATCCTAGTCTGTCATGCTAATATCTCCATGCTGATAGCTATGGAACCAAACATGCTTCCCATGGGTTGTCTCACTCAGGCTGGTCTTCTAACTCCTGGTCTCAAATGATCCTCCCCCACTTAGTGTCCCAAAGTGTTAGCATTACAGGCATGAGCTACTGTGACCGGCCTATTTTATTTTTTTCTATGGCACTTATTACTATCTGTCATACCATATATTTTACTTATTATCTGACTCTATTCTCTAGAATTTAAGTTTAAGGATACATGTTTGTCCTTGTATTTCCTGCTGTACATCCAGTGCCTAGGACAATATTTGAATATAAAAAGCAACCAATAACTATTTTGGGGGGGAGGACTGAGTTTTACTCTGTTACCCTGGGTAGAGTGCCGTGGCATCATAGCTCACAGTGACCTGGAATTCTTGGGCTCAAGTGATCCTCTTGCCTCAGTTTTTCATTTTTAGTACAGATGGGGTCTCACTCTTGCTCAGGCTGGCTGGGTTCAAACTCATCAGTTTAAGCAATCCACCCGCTTTGGCCTCCCAAAGTGCCAGAATTATAGGAATGAGCCATCACACCCAGGCTCCAATAACTATTTTGTAATAAATGAATTAACAGATCCATTAATCATGAGATGTAAATACATCATATTAAGGCAGTGGTTCTCAATCTTCCTAATGCTGCAACCCTTTAATACAGTTCCTGTGGGTCTCGACCCACAGGTTGAAAACCACTATATTAAGGAGATATATTATTCCCTATCTCTTTTTTTAAACAAGAATCATCTAGAAGAGCTGAAAACGTTCTTTTTTTTTTTTTTTGTAGACACAGAGTCTCACTTTAGCGCCCTCGGTAGAGTGCTGTGGCATCACACAGCTCACAGCAACCTCCAATTCCTGGGCTTAGGTGATTGTCTTGCCTCAGTCTCCCGAGTAGCTGGGTCTACAGGCGCCCACCACAAGCCCCAGCTATTTTTTTGTTGCAGTTTGGCCAGAGCCAGGTTTGAACCTGCCACCCTCGGTATATGGGGCCGGCACTGTACTCACTGAGACACAGGTGCTGCCCTGAAAACCTTTCTTAAGGTAATATAACTTGTTAGAGCAAAAGGATACTAAATTTAGTCCTACTAATTTCAAGTCAAAATTGTTTCCCCTGCTGAACTCTCTCACTAGCATTCTTCCTCCTCATACACACTGAATATCTATCCCAGCAGAATCTCAAGGGTGTATTGTATTACTGTGTGACCTGCTATTACTTTCCTACAAATGATTCCACATTATGTGGAGGAAGCAGTACCAGCAATACAAGTTTAATATATTATTATTTACTAAGCTTTGGGGAAATCTATTTTAATTACTCCAAGTTACTCTAGATCAACCTAGGAAGCTATACACAAGTGTGTCAAAAAGTCAGGCAAACGCAGTGCAGGGCCTTCCATAATTTGTTGCTGGAAGGGTACGGATGTTTATCAGTGACCCCTTAAACTACACCAAAAGGAAAGGTCTAGGCTAGGACCACAGTTTAAAAAGTTGGGTATCTGGGTTGGGTGCAGTGGCTCACTCTGGGAGACTGAGGCGGGCAGACTGCTTGAGCTCAGGAGTTCGAGCTCAGGAGTTCGAGACCAGCCTGAGCAAGAGTGAGACCCTGTCTCTGTGCCCAGCAGGTGCCTGTAGTCTGAGAGGCTGAGGCAAGAGAATCACTTGAGTCCAAGAGACTGGGGTTGCTGTGAGTTATGACACCACTGCACTCTACCCAGGGTGACAAAGTAAGACTCTTGTTTTAAAAAAAAAAAAAAAAGAAAAGAAAAGTTAGGTATCTGTCTGCTGATCTAAGGGATTTTGAAACTTTAGAGGAATAAGGAGAAACAAAAGAAAAAGAAGGTAGGAAAAGCAATGACTGCTTCTACAAATTGTATAGTGACCCAACAACTTGATGACTTGCGGGAAGAAAGTCACTCCAGCTTGGTAAAACTTAATGATCACTATGATATCCCAACCTCCTGCTCTTCTCAATACTGGTAATTATGATGTTTCTGATATGAGAGCAAAAGATGGGTGAGGTTTGGTCCTTTGTTCAGAATCCAAACCTGATTCCAAAACAAACCAATAGGAATTATTTCCAGGATAGCTCTATACAAATCTGACATACACAAACTTCAGCCCCTTTAGACTTCCTCAACTTCCTCAGCTCTATACAAATCTGACATACACAAACTTTAGCCTCTTTAGACTTCCTCAACTGGGTTTCCTTAAGAATTAAGTCCTAATACTCTAAAGCATCAACTGTTAACTAATAAACTAACTTTTCTCCAGGGATAGCACTACTTACATATTATCCCAGAGAGAACTTAAATAGCCACTCAAATCGATTGGCGTTCTGTGGGTCAGATGACCCTGTTTATGAAAAGACAGCATGCCATTCAAAGATGGCATAGTGTACTTAGTTAAGAGCATGGACTCTGGAGCCAAACTGGGTTCAAAATCCCAACCTTGGGATTTACTAGCTATATGATCTTGACCAACTTATTTAACTTCTCTAGGCCTCACTTTTCTCTTTTAATAGGCCAGACACAGTGGCTCACGCCTATGATCCTAGCACTCTGAGAGGCCAAGGAGGGTAGATTCCCCAAGCTCAGAAGTTCAAGACCAGAGCAAGAGTAAGACCCCATCTCTACTAAAAATAGAAAAACTTGGAGGGTGTTGTGATGGGCACCTGTAGACCCAGCTACGTGGAAGGTTGAGGCAAAAAGATTGCTTGAGCCCAAGGCTCTGAGGTTGTTGTGAGCTATGACGCCATAGCATTCTACCCAGGGTGGCAGAGTGGGACTCTGTCTCAATCAATCAATCAATCAATCCTTCAAAAAAAGAGGGATCATAATACTATTTACCATCTAGAGTTAAGACCTAATGCACAGGGCAGCACCTGTAGCTCAAAGGAGTAGGGCGCTGGCCCCATATGCCAGAGGTGGTGGGTTCAAACCCTGCCCTGGCAAAAAAAAAAAAAAAAAAGACCTAATGCACAGCAGTATGATAAATGCTAAGTGTTAGGTATTATTATTATTTCATTTGGGAGTTTGGGGATACTAAAGGGCCTGTCTGCCACCATCCTATGCTGAAGAAGGGCTCTGAGTCAGGTGTTTCTCCCTTGAACTACCTTCTCAATCTCTGAGATGTGGGTAGAAAGAACTAAACTCTTTTCTATTCCCTATTCTATTGCTCCCATTCAAGAGAGGCAGATTTCCCATGACCTAGATAACAAGGGTTTTGGCAAAGAAAAGGAGAAGTCTAGGGTCAGAGCTCTGTCTGCAACCACAGTGGTCTGTAACAACAGATCTGACTCTTGTGCTCAGTGGGATCAACATTTCCATGCTATAATCTTGCCCCATCTCTTAATTACAGGCAGACTTCTCCATACACATGACTACCTGAATGCATTCACAATGGCCTCTGACTGAATCTTTTTTATTTTATTTTAATTATCGTTGCCAGTCTTGCTCTGCTATTGTTAGGAAGAAGCAAGTGTATTAGGGATAAAGCAGCCTGAGCCAGCCCAGCATGCATCTGTGGAGCTACAGCTCCGGATGAGGCTGTTAGCACAAAGCCCCTCTGTTAGAGCAGCACACTAACCCCTGTGTGTCCCTCTCACATGAGCACAGGGGCTGGAACGGGCCTCCTCTCATTCCCTTTTTCACCCTCCTCCCACCTTTCCCAGAGGGAGATCCTGTTCACACCAAAAAAAGCCAAGAACATTTAGTTCAGCAGTAAGAACAGGTGGCAGCACCAATAAGGAACAAAAACTGGTATTCTTCCAATTGCTGAGTTTTATGGTAGGCAGGGAGAAAGGGCAGGAAGAACTGAAACCCAGGAATCACTGTTCCCTGGGGGGTCCCTGATGGTTCCATTTCAATAAGCAGGAAAAAACCCACCTTTGAGGCTTCTCTCTATTTCACAGAATGAAACCAAAGAGTCTTCCTTTTCATTGTCAGGAAAAGGTAAATTACATTTTGTCTGACAACTATTTTCTTGGATACAGTACAAAAGCAACAAGACTTTAATAACTAAACACAGGTGCTTCCCCACCCACCTCTCTTGAATCAAGCAACAAACAATTCTATCTACATGGGCACATTATTATTTGGATTAGTTAAAAACCATGTAAATAAGATAGAAATGCCATGAATGCATTTTACAAGGGTACATGTTAAATTTACTAAGTGTAGAATGTAAATGTTTTAACACAATAACTAAGAAAATGTGGTGAAGGCTATGCTAACCAGTTTGATGAAAATATTTTAAATTGTATATAAAACCAGCACATTGTACCCCATGATTGCATTAATGTACACAGCTATAGTTTGTTTTTTTTTTT